ACAGAGAAAATAAGAGGTTCAAACTATTTCTGGAAGAGTTTTATTTTAAAAACACAGGGATCTCAGAGAAAACATGGTCCTTTTTGTCAGCCAAATTTCACCATTTTTAAGAGCCATCCTATTGTTTTCAGGCTGAATTTTTTTTCTGGATGGCAAGAAATGAAGCTTCAAGACAAATTATTCAAGCAATGCCAAAATTCTGCTAGATTTTCATTGCTACATGGTAAGTTTTCAGGGGAATAGGAAAGGGCAGAACTAATATATTTTCAAAATCACTGGCACATGTCTTCAAGATAAAATTCCAACGGAAACCAATAATCATTCCCTTTTGTCCCCCCACTGAAAATCTCCAAAAACAATGAAGGCAGCTAAAACCTTTAAGTATATGGAGAGAATTAGTATTCGCAGCAAGAGCATAAAGTACATGAAATTCATTATTTACCACACCTGGGCACTAATTTTTTTAAACAGGTGCCTTGTTTGTCAGGAAAATCTCCAGAAATTGGGGTAGGGAAAGATTTACATCAGCAACTGAAGAAAAAAAATTGCTAATGGTGGATAAATTGTAGCATCTATCTGGAATGTGCACATGATTTTAAGCATTGTGATTGCATCACACTGACAATAGTGAAAGCTTTCAAAACACAGGACCAGACCCCACACTGAGATGCATCACTTCTTCCCACTCAGTCTCACTCAGGGGACTTGCTTTCCCTCAAAACAATTTCTTATCAAATTGCTGTTTTCTTATAACTTTTTTTTTTTCTTTCTTCAAAGTACTTTCCCTATTTAACCCACATTTACCTTTTCCTGAATCATTGTCACTTCTTCTTTGAGGCCATGTCTCCTTTCACTAATACACCACCCCCACCCCCCTTTTTAATATCACTTTTCTAGCTAGAGGTAGAGAGCTGCTTAGGCAAACCTTTCTCGTGCTCTACTTTAAGATAGTGAGAGTGATGCCTTGCAAGCTATATGTAAAAGTATCTAAAACAACAGAAGAGGAAGAAAGGACGAGTTGAGCATAAACAGACACTGCATTTTGTATGTTCTAATACTATTTTAATGACTACAAAGGACTGTACAGTGAAGGTGACATGGCACTCATGAAGCCTCATCTGGGATTTTAAACGATGGGAAGTAATTTGTACAGGTGTACAAGTACCTGGTTAAAACACACGTCACTTGTGGCTTAATCTTATAAATACAGCTTGAACTAAATCCAAACCATAAAATTAATTCAGATTTTGCTGTCAAAACCACACCAGGGCAGACTACTCTGCCTATTTAAGAGAAGATGCTGAATTTTCCAATGCAAAAGTTTTGGGGAAACACTTGAAGTTTTCAAGTCTTCACCAGCCTTTGAAATTTTAAAGGTTCACTGTCACTAGGCAGCTCCTACCTAGCATGTTCAAATCCTGAGAATGACCTCTTAATGCTTTCTTAACTTTCATTAAATGAGTATTCCTTCTCCTTCTACATGCAAGCTTGCATCCCTGGATGCTCTTCTCACCTTATACCACACAAATATTTAAAAAAAACACCCTAAACCACCTTGTAACATCTGTACTGTCACAATGATTTCCCAGGCAATGATCCGATTCTTGCGGCTGAGTTAAAATGCTTGGCATTTAGCCTTTTTTCTTCTTCCCTCTCAGGAACTAGGTTATTATTGCTTCATAAAGCAGTGCCTGTGTGGTATTACTAGCTACTTAATGTCTATTTAGTGTAAAGGGCTGCATTCACCTTCCAGCCCCTACAGGCATTTTTTTCTTCTCTCCCTGACAGGACCAGATGGCATTCTGGCCAACCTTCACCCACCCTTCACAAGCCATGCACTCTATTCAGACAATGCAGCTAGCAGCTTTGGAGACACATTACTGTCATAACTGGACAGATGCTAGAAGAGTGGTTGTTACTGCCCCAAACAATGGGAAAATTAATGACTTCAATTAAAAGATGTAGATTAAACCTCTGCCAAGGTATGGTCACCTTTTCATTTTTGTATGCTGTTGTGGTTTTTATTTTATTTAATTTTCCAGCTCTCATCACATAACAGGGTGACAAACACATAACCAGAAAGAGAAATACATGGCCAACAACGAATGATTACAGCAGGCTATGAGGGAATGGTCATCCCCATCTCACTACGCCATCTGATCACAGGATAAATCAGGACGATGAACCCACTGTTCAAAGGAAGATTCTAATTACATGTTTCAGTGGAGTCAGCCCAGAATACTTAGCTTTTTCAAGATCAAGCACCAGTAGTGCAAGTAATAATCTTCCCACTGTTTTTGTGTATGCATGCACTGTTCACACTAATTTGATGTTCCTGTTAAGCTACGAACTGCCCCAGCTCCTGGTTACTGCATCAAGACACTCTTTCATATCCTGCTCACTCCACACATTGGTCACACATCAAAGAGGCATCAGAAAGGGAGCAAAACATGAAATACCATTAATCAAAATGCACCTGAAAACTAACATAAAGCTCACTTAATTAAAAACAAAAGCATAAATAATTTTCTCTCAGAAAGACTACTGCCTCAAAATGATTACATTCAAATTACTCTTCACCCCAACACCTTGTGATCACAAGAAACTCCAAAATCTTAATTATTTTTAGATCAGCATTCAACTGCCCCAACTGCAATAATATCTTGCTTCCTCTGCTGCCATCCCCCGCCTCATTTACTACACACCTTCCAGCTTGGTTGCAAATAAACCTACTTCAAAGCTTGCCCACCAGTGTAATGAATAATCTGCATCAGCCCAGAACTCCAGACTGGAGAGAAACAGACACAGACCCTTTGCTCCATGCTCTTAATCCATCTCACTCACTCTTTACCTACGTGCACTCCAAGTTCTACTCCTTTTTGTTATTGCCATTCTGATTTCCCTGATATCTGTATGTCCCCTGGGCTCCAAATTGCCAGCTCCAATTCCCTAACCCTGCTGAGAGGTTCCTGCACACACTCCTTTTTTGCTTCTACTCCTTTGCTTCTTGCAACTTCTTTTCCTTGTTCCTCTATACACCTTTTCATGACCCATCTCCTTTTGATCATGACTGCTGCTTACTTCTCTTTTCTCCTTGGTACTGGAGATCAACTGGTGGGCAGCACAGGCCCTACTCCCTCAGCCCAGTGGGCAGCTCTGCAACCAGGATTAAGTACAGAGAGCATAGCTCCTCCATGAGCACATGCAGACAGATATTTCTGAAAGGAAAGCTCTTGAATCTGAGGTGTCTCCAAAGTGCATGAAAACCCCACCATCAAGGCAAACTCAGTGGTATGTTTCTCAAGACAGAAAAAGGCATCGCCCTGGTATTATGGTGATACTTTATTAAATGTCAGGCCTCCAAAACTTCAGTCTGATGAAGTTCATTCCACTAAAAGCACTGAAACATCTCAGGAAAGAACTGCTGGATTTGTTTATTTTGAAGGAGGTAATTTAAAGTAGCACACTTCCCACAAATCTTGCCTTCAAAACTAACTTTAATAAAAAACTTTTACTAAAAGAAAAAGAGAAAGAATCAAAGACTGTCTTGCCATGAAAAATTTCAGCCAAAACAATTAAAGTTTAGAGAATCTATAAAGAAAACAATTCCTTATTGTAGGCAGTGACAGGTACACTTTACTCTAGGCACTGCTATTGACTTTGCTTGTAATTAATAAATCTACCATACATAATTGTTCCAGCTAAGCAAACATTTTCACTCACACTGATGTAAACAAAATCATTCCTCTTATAAATTAGAAGTTGGTCCACCTGTTGTCACCATCTCTCCACACTGCCTAGAAGTGTCTAAACATCATTTTTCTCTCAGTTTTGCCAGCTCCAAATTTCAGGCCTTGCCATTCTAGTCTGTGGAAAAGGGAATCTGAATTCACCATCCTTCACGCTGCAATGAGTATAAAAACAAGAACTGATCCAGAATCCCTCAGCGTCATGGGAGAAAACCAGGTGAGTGTCTCCTGGCAGTGCTACCCAGATCACCCTTTCTTACCACGACTTCTCCTTCTCTGCTAGCAGTTTCCAGTTTGCTGGAAAAGTTTCCAATTTGTAGCCACGTGGCTATGCAACCTTCCACCCAAACTGCATTTGCCCTGGAGCTGTACTTGGCAGGCATCTTGCAGCCCTCTTCCACACACATCCAAGACAGAAGGACAAACTGAAACAAGGACCACATGGTCACTACTTCTAATTTTTCTATACTGTTTTATAGTGATCCAGATACAGTAGAACGAGAAACAGAAGTGGTGTACACAATTTTACATTATGTACTTCAGGGGAAAAAACAACCACAAAACACTAGAATTTTTCAAAGCCAGCAACAGATTTCAGACAGGTGCTTCCCATCTAAACTGGTAGCAATTATGGATCTACTGCTGGTTCTGAAAACCTAAAGCGAAAGGACCAAAAAGCTGAGAATCACTTCTAAAATAGGCAAGAAGAATAAGAGACGCTCTTACACAAATCTAAACATGGCAAGCATGATTGCAGTGGTAGAAATCTCTTACATGGGGGAATTATCTGCAACAAAAACACTGTTTAGTCATCTACACTGACAATAGTATCTCTGGTTCAAGATTTTTGCCTACATCTTTGAAAGTAAGCAGCAAATGTAAAGGTTTCTGCTCTACAGAAGAAGTTGCATCAGAGCTACCCTAAGGGTGAGTGCCTTGGTCTTTCTCACAACCAGTTGCCATGAAGGCTCCCTTAGCTCAGGCATCCAAAATAACCTATTTACTTTTGGAAACTTGGATTTAGATTTATTAAGAGTGCAGGGTGCCACAGAGAAAAAAAACAAAGGCAAGCACATATAATAATGGAGAAAGAGGAAGAAACAGAAGGAAGGATCAAAAGAGAAGAAGCAAAAGGACTTCTGTAATTTCAGCACATCAGCACAATTCATTAAACTTGAGGGAGCCACTAGGAGTTGCCTGTGGTGATGGTGACAGTGCATCATCAAGCAGAAAAATGTAGAGGGCTCTTACTGCAGCATATGTGTCTGGCTGACGTCCTTTTGTTTGTCAGGTACCTCGTAGTGTGGGGAAATCTTGCCGAGGCCGCTGTCACTCAGCATCCTCTTTCGAACCGCAGGGTTCCACCGATCTGATATTCTAGGGAGGGAAGAAGGAAGAGTAAGGTATTCACCCCTCAGGAATTACCTCATGTGCTCCACTTTGAAGATGTCTTATGGTTACTGGTTCCCAGCATTTTTCAGCCCATAGCAAGCTAAAATAGTTTAATTCACTATGAGTACAAGACTGGTTCTAAAGATGGATAGGAGCATTTCTGATCTGCCCAGAGGATGAGAATAAACAGAGACACTTCACCATCATTCTTAGGCACAAAGGGCTTCAGGGCCTTATACAGTGGTATTAGAGCCCTGTCCATGCAGAGAAGGGGGTTGTAACTCAGTCAATACAGATTTATGGAGGGGCAGATATAGTCAGAGCGTGAGGAAGTCAAAAGGTTCGTTAGTCCTTCTGTGCGCTCCAGGGATGCCTGGTGGAGTAGATGTTATTCCACTCTTCTTCTGTTACCACATGTTGTGGTTTGAACTCAGCCAGCAGCCAAACACCACGTGACCAATCACTCACCCTCCAGGGGTGCCCAGGGCATAGGAATGGGACTTGGAGGGATAAAGGGAGACTCATAGATTGAGATTTAAAAAATTTTAGTAATTGTAATAAAATAAAACAATAACAGTAATATAAAGTACAAATGGGTAATGCACAATACAATTGCTCACGACCTGCCAACTGACACCCAGCCTGCTCCCTGCTAGCAATCCTGAAATACCAAGATCCACAATTGCAATCCTGGAAGCAAGGGAGAACGCCCTCCTTCCTGCCCGCCCCTCCTTTATATACTGAGCATGACATCACATGATATGGAATATTGGCTAATTTGGGTTCAGTGCTCTGGCTGTGCCCCCTCCCAGCTTCTTGTACATCTGTGCATGGACAGGACATGGGGAGTTGGAGACTCCTTGATCTCTTAGCAACAACCGCAAACATCAGTGTATTATCAGCATTCTTCTCATATTAAATCCCATACTCAATTCAAAACATAGCACTATTCTAGCTACTAAAATGAAAAATTAACACTATCGCAGCTGAAATCAGAACATCGTGGCCACATCTAATCCCATCTCCAGCTCCCCACCTAAGATCTGCCCTCCCATATCTCCCAATCCTTCAGAAAAGGGGACAAGAAAAGAGATGCCCAACTCTAACATGGCTGCTGAAAGCCAGATCCCAGCACCACTCACCCAGAGGCCTGCTCCACTACCAGATCAGGCATTCCTGGTGGTGTCCCCACCTGCTGTGACATTACCAGCTCTGGGTCCAGGATAAAAATCTCGTCCTGCGAAATTTCCGTCACAAAGTGCAAATGTTCCTGTTGGGAGTGATACAATGAACAAATAATCAACCTGCAGCATCACTGGTCTCTCAGAGCACCCAGATGTCTATAGGAAAGCTGGGTGCACATCAGGGTCTCTGAAGAGCATTCATGGGACTATGCATGTGTATTTTATTTAAGCTCACACACATACACACGCACTAAAATGAATACCACTGAAGTCACCAATAAATACCTCATCGATTTCAAGCCCAATAAGATTCCCAAAAAGCAAGCTTCATGCTCACAGACACTTAAAAGGCTGCTACTCAATGACTCTATGTCATTCAGCTGAAAACTGGAAGTCTACCCAAAAAGCCAATGAGCCACTTTGAAATGAGGGCTAACACCTAAGGTCTGCCCTCCAATGACAGCTGACAGAAATTTTCATTGTTTGGGGGCACTCTCCCAGACTCCATTGCTTGCATATTCTGGTTTCATATCTCTGTTACTAAAGCTCTCTTTCTCAGTCCCTCTTTGTTACTGACACTGAAGGCTCATTGTCCTTCAAAAAACCCTGAGTGTAGGTAGGCCTGTCTATGTAGGCGAACAGGCAGGAAGCTTCCTACCATTTGTGCACTGGGACCATCACACAGTATTGATCTTTTCCCCACAGAAACCACAGGGTAAAGGAGTAGGAGGGAAAGATGACCATTTGTACAGTCAAGTATTAAAGAAATTCAGAATAAGCCAACAGAGTCACATTGCCCAGTTTAAACTGTAGCAGCATCTTCTTCACCCTTTCTAGCCAAATGTTAAAGTACAATTTCATCAAAGCATTTATATGACTGTGTGTAAAGAAGTCCCACAGTGGCTACACGCAGACGCTGAACCTGGGACCTTTGAACTAAAGCCACAGCTTCTTCTGTTTGAACGAAACCACCAGCTGCTTTGCTAGGAAACAGACATATGTTCATGTGATTCAGTACCGCTTACATGGCTCTCATGGGGACCAGATACAAATGACCACTCTGTGAAATCAACAGTTTGCACTTAATGCTGAGCCACTAATTGGCCTGTTCTGACTACAAATCAGAAAAACCAAAAGCTCTGTAAAATTTTCAAAGTGTCTTTTAGAAAATATATCCAAATTGTCAAATCTATACAACAGAATTTAACTCATAGGAGCTACATGCTGTTTTGAGGTTCCTTTGGAATATTTGAAACAGCTCCATTCATAATTCTCAACTTGTAACATCACCTTAATTTCCATAACTATTCCATGTCACACACAGAGGATCGAGACTTCTGGTAACTAAAAGCATCAGTGAAAAGATTAACTCAAATGCTCTGATGGCACACAGATGCCCTTAGTATGATCAGGATGACAAAAGTAGAAAATTCTGATCTGCACATCACATTAGTAGTAAACAGAAGGGCAGATGAGCAGATATAAAACTGCAGTGAAATTATGTGAATTACATCAATTAAAAAATGGCCCAGAATTTTTTGTCTACTTTTCATGAGACATCAATACCACTTTAAAACACACAGGAGGGATGGCAGGTAATTCATCTTAAGCTGCATCTGACATAGCTTAAAAAATAAAATCTGTAGAAACAGTAACCAAATAAAGATTTACCTGAGATCTGTCAATGCGGTAAAAACGATCAGCAGAAGTTGCTACAAGAAAGAGAAACAACAGAGCTGCAGTGAAGAAAATTATCTGAGCAGAACAAGATGGGCTGAGCTAACATCACTGCCACGTAACAACCTCTGTGTCAGTGAAGTCGCAGTGGTTTCACAAGAACATAATCTGATTCATTCATTATGTTCATATTTCTATCCCATTAAATAGTGAATTTAAAGGTTAGGTTTAACAAACCAATATTCACTGAAATTATTAACTTGAAATAGGTATTTTTAAAATGTACAAAGTGGATTTCAGGCTTGCACAAAGAATTGATTACATTAAAATATGTGACAGAAAAAGCTGCATTGTTCTGATGAAAGTATAGCAAGCATATAATGAAATTGATTGACCTAATAGTATTAACACAGATTTTGAATCTAAAGAACAATAACATGCTTGGGAGCTCTTTGTAAATCAAATGCATAACCACAGATATTCACCTTGAATTACCAATACACTCAAGGAAAATTTATGCTAAACATGAAAAAACACATGAAGATAAGGAAGATTCACTAAATAAAGCACCTAATATGAATCTTGTCGCCGCCAAATTGTTTATATTACTAAACAAGAAGCATTTTATCACCTACAATGTGCTTCATCAGATACAAATCTTTTTGTTTCTGCTTTGCATTTAGTTTGGCAAGTGATATGTGATTCGTTCATTCTGGAGTTTTGACACAAGAACACAGCAATGTAGCACTGTAGGTTTTGGCACTGCAAGGGATTATCAAATCCCTAAAGACAAAAACTGAATGCATTTAACCACACAGCTTTCTCCAAAAATCAAACAGATTCTCAATATGGTTTTTATCATTTTCTTCACAAGATACAAGGAAGACTGATTAGAAATTGCCAAAAAGAATTTTTTTTGTTGTTTAGAACAATAAAAATTTCAGTCTCCCCATGCTGAAGCTTTTGCAAAAGAAGATGCCATCCATTTTAGCTGCTAATTCCAGTGCTCTGGAGTGGATGAAAAGCCCAGATAAGCCATCTGCTTTGACAAAGTCTGGGTCAAATACAAGTGCAGGTCTCCAGGGAGTTACATGAAGTGCAGTCTTGCAGGGAAAGGGCGGTACATTTCCATCACCTAGACACTACTACTTAAAGAGAAACCAGAGTGAAGAACGCAGCCTTACCAGCAGCATTGTGTTGTCACAACCAGCTACACTGAGTCCAGGCACTGCCATGCAAAAGGTGCTGCTCATCACAGAAGAAGCATTAATAAGGCAAACTTCTAACCACCCTTAGAAGAACGTGCCTCCTTGGATTATAAAGCTACAGCAGACATTCTAATTGCTAGATGAGGGGTCTGTTTCATTTTTCAGAGGAAAAAGAGGGGCACCCAGATAATTTTTTACCTGCTCAGTGTAACAGGAAGGAACAGACATACTCCCAGATGCACTACCCTTCACATGCACACCAGAAGCAAGCAGCATGCTAGGCATAAAAGAAAGGAGATGCACTTACCATCTAGGAAGCACCATCTAGGAGATAGCCGCTGAACAGAAAGTACTCTGGGGAAAGAGCTTTCTTGGTCCTGGATAGGGCAGGGAAATGACATAAAATATAACAAACTTTTTTCTCTTAAAAGGACTATTTTCTAGTCTCTGCTTTTTTTCATTTTGCTCTCCTGACATTGCAAAACTTATATACTCCAAACCCACTGGATTTGCTCTTCATTGACATCAGGGTTTGACTGTAATATACAAGAGAGTAAATGGCTTCAGCTGTGGCTTCAGCCACATGCTCAACTGTCCCCTTCCCTTCAGCTCAGCATTACCAAAAATATTTGCATCAAAAAAAGCTTTCTTAGCTGTCTATGGTCCCCGCATTTGTGGGGGCACAGGAACAAAAAGTGATAAAAGAGGTCAAAAAGATGCACATCAGTATCAAACAACAGTCATGAACTCTACATACTATGTTTGTTTCTTGTGTGCCTGTCACCTTTCTTTATTCTAGCTCAGCAATTTTACACTCTTTACCACCTCTCCTGATCTGCTGCTCAAAGCAGTTGGCCAATTCACCTGTCCCTGCTGTGTCTCAAATGCACACAGGGGTAAAAAAGTGTTATTCTCTACACTCTGAATACAGAGCACAGACTTGGGGACTATCACCAGTCAACAGACATCCTACATCAATATCTTCCCATTCTGGCTAAAAAGACAGGCTCCTGGGAGCCGATAGATGTTATTTCAGGAACCAAACCAAATGACTGGTGGGGAGTGAAGGCCTTCTTCCTGACCTGTACTCACTAAGGAGTCAATCAGGCTGCCCCTTGCTTTTTCACCTCTCGCCAAGCTGGCGAGACAAAAGGGATCTCAGAAAGCAAAGGGCGGTCATGGCTTTGCTTCATGGTACCAGTGATGGCCAGCCAACTTCCTAAAGCCACTGGGACACAATGCTTAAACACAAATATATTTGCACATGACAAAACACAACAACATGAATGTTGGGCGCAGACCCAAAATCTGTATAGAGCCAGATTCTATCCGTATTTATCCTTATTTACCTCTTTAAGCAGTAGAATCAGCACATCTGCAAATTATGTAAATTCAGGCACATAATAGCTCAAGATTAAATATTACTCCTCCTTCAGACAACAGACTAGAGAGTGGTACACCAAATCACAAGTCAAGAAAAGTAGAAGCAATGGGGAGGAAAGGTACCTTTGAGAAAAGTATTGCTTTGCACAAGAAGCACAGAATGTGAACAACGTGTATGTACATATATTCATAACATGGGCACAGATTGGTGAAAACAGACCAGGACACAATGGTATCTCATTAGGCCTTCTCAGAATATCACACAGGAGCCCAGAACCTTTCCTGACAGCAGGATGCAGGACAAACAGTTTTCGTATTGGTAATTGTATGTCTTTATCAGGTCAGTAGTTGTTGGAAGGTCCAAACACCAGAAGGCAACCACTGCACGTATTGGAGCCCTGCTTCCTGAGAAGACTCGACATCGTCTGTTAATGGGAAGTAGACAATAAATCTGTTTTCTTTTTTTTTTTTTTGCTTCTGCACACGGACCTTTGCTTCGCTTATATTAAAACTGCTTTTGTTTTACCCACAAGGGTTGGGGCTTTTTTTCCTATCTTATTTTCTTTCCCCTCTTTGCCCTGTTGAGGAACAAAAGGGGAAGGGGAAGGAAGTGATAGAGCGACTTGGTGGGTACCTGACATTTAGCCAAGGTCAAACCACCACATACACCAACACAAAATGAAAGTTTATGGTGTGTCAAATGTGTCCAAAACATTTGGAACATTCATACAGATTCTCCACAGTTTCTTATATATTTTCCTCTGTTCTTACTGCCTAGTGTTTCCATCATTAAGAAAAATCTAGAAGTAAAAGATAGTTCTCAGCAATTTCTCTCACTGTTTTGGAAATCTGACGTATTTCTAAAATACTTATCTGAGTAGCCCTGGGTGAGAAAAAGTTATAAAAAAAAAAAAAAAAAAAAAAGAATGTATCAACAGAAAAATGAGAGTTCCATCAGTTCAATTCCCCAGGCTGCCCAGACATGTGTCAGAAAGACCATGGAGAAGAAGCAGTTTGCTTTCTTCAACCTGGGGGAAATCTCAGAGAATGTTTCAGTCAAAACAGTTTCCAAATTGATTACAGAGCAAATAATGTCCTCATATGTTAAGAGGTAGACATTGGTCTTTGATTTACATAAAGGTAATCTGACTCTTTTTCAGTCACCTGAGAAGAAAATGAGGTCATGCTGATGCTGTTCAGACACGCACAAGTTCCTAGATTCCCCAGCTTCCCGGTCAGCAGGGTGCCTGCATTCACTGTGTGTTGTTTTCAAGCAGCTCTGATGATGATTAGCATTTTGCGTTTTGATGGACACTCACTCCTCAGCCAGGTAAATGCATATCAGTGCCTAGTGTGATGCAGCTACAAAATGTTTTTAATTTAATTTGGTATCATAATGGCTTTTGCAAGTTTCATTTTATTAGCTTCTGCCTCTGCGACTGACTGGAACCATCTATTATTGCTTTTCTTTTCTGGTTATCCAGGACAGAAGAGCAAACATGACTCCAGTCAACTCATCTGTTGTCTCCTCAGTGCCCTAGAGTTTGCCTGTAGCCCTGGCAGCTGACCTAGTCTGAAATGTTACTGCAGCAACTTACAAACTTTGCTTGACTAAAAAAATATCTATACATATATATGTCTTCTGATGCATGATACCAGCATCTATAGCCATCCTGACAAAAATAAAACAACTTCAATTCTCTCTCTTATTTAGACTCACGGATTTTACCTGATCCCATAAACCTTGCCCTCATGCACAGGTTTTTGATTTCAACCACTGTGCATTACAGGAAGGATAAAGACAATGACAACATAACATTCCACAAAGTGAACTACTTCTGCACATGGGGATCAAGTGACATATCTTAGTGGTTTAATACACCTATGTCTTTCTCTAGTATGGGATAATGGAGTTGTGGGATGAGTAGGTTTCCCTGTATCACAACTGAGGCACATGTGGGAGACTCAATGGGTTTCTGAAATCCACTAGGTTTGCTAACATCTATGTACCTACATGTACAAAGCTTCATGTATCTTAATATTTAGCACGCTATTTGTGGAAAGCTGAGGACTCAGATACAAAGGACAAAGGGAAGAAAATATCCAAAGATAACAGGGCATATGAAAAAAGTAGATGATACAAAGAGGAGAAATGAGTACAAATTCATAGACTTAGCAGAGCACATAATGCTGGCAAAATGAAGATAATGATGGTAAATGTAAATTCAAGTCACAAATTGCATATTGTGATATGCTCCTTCCAAGACTTCATTACTGTCCAACTGCAGAACTAGTTTGGGAAGTCTCAGGCCCAAGAGAATGGTATTTTATGAGCAATAAACTCATTAGAGAAACAAACCAGAATGAAAAACAACTCTAGCATAATTTTTCTTATTTGCACCTGGACTTGCTGATGTTTCTGCTGACTCCCCATGTTTTGAGCTGCAGAGGAATCATGCAAGAGAACTGCATTTTTGAGACCAAAAAGTACCCATGACACCTTATTAGTGAGGCAAGAAGACAGTTCCATCAACTCAAGCACCTTATTTATGTCCTTTATCCCCCTCTTTTTTCCCTTCTTGTAATATGTAGAGGGACACCAACAAACATGGAAACCTCAAATTAACCTAACAAGGCAGCTTGTAGAAATGACCCACTGAGAATAAAACAATGTTTGAAGAATCCAGGATAAACAAATACCGAAGACAAAACACAGAGGGGGTGCATTCAGAAAGTAGCATCATGAAAAACTGATAGTATGTTAGGGATTTCACTCTGATGTACACTAGAGAAGGTGGCTAGAAAATTAATTTATACACTGCTATAACTGCAGAGGTTAGAGCCAAGTACAGGGCTGATTTCTGACATTTCATACTCTCTTTTGACCCTCCCCATACACACAGATTTGGTTCTTCAGTTTACCTCAGGCAGTTTCCTACACATGGAGCAGCCAGCAGCCACTTAGGTTAATTTATAATGAGTGAAACAGTATAATACATGCTGGTTTATTAGCCAATTTGCTAGACAGTAACACTGCTTTAAAACTCAGTACTGGGGAAATGATTGATACAAATGTCAAAAATATGACATTAAAATTGGACAGGGAAATGCAGAAGCAAACCATGAACTGGTATGAAGGCAGCAACTCCAGGCAAACATGCCAAATTGCATTTTATCATAGTGTCTTCCTGCCATCAGTGCATTTACAGGCAGTCTTGCCAACTGGAATTCTGTATCACCCAGGTAATCATTAAGCCCCAAAAAATTAACTGCAATTTCAGCACAATGGGTTCCCATCAGCTGGATCTTGCATTGTTAAATCTAGGAAAAGGCTATCAACACCGTGCAAACTTGTCTCGTGATCCTAGGCACTGTCAGCTGGCCATGGTTTGTATGAAGTCTCTGCACAAATATCAGATCAGCTCAGGAGTCAGCAGAGTTAGTCTGAGTTAGTTTAGACCCAATTTAAGAATTGTGCAGCACAGTATTTTACTGGGACAAATATGCATTCTTGAACAATACTTCCAACTGTAAAGGCAAGTTCTGAATTGCATAAATTGTAGAATAAAGTTGTAAAATGCACAAAGAGACCTATTTTAAAATGTAGCCACCTAAAACTAGAACCTGTTCATCACAGGCAAAAGACACATTTGGGCCCAGGATGAACTGAAAAAACTGCTCTGAAGATCATGTTAAACTAAAGTTAGATGACTGTGGTGCACAGAATTATTAAAAGGTTAGGCCTACCAGCACACCCTTTTTCTCAGTGATAGACTTTATTGCTACAGCTATGCAGTATAACATGTTATTATTCAGTTTCTTAGAGAAACAGTTTTACTTTTGCATCTGTCCTACAGGACACATTCTCTCATGCACTCCAATATGCAAGACACTGTTATTGCAGTATCACTCACATCATTCACATCATCATGCTGTGCTATTTTTAAAGATTATTCCATAAGTTTTGCAAGGAAAACGATTGTCCGAGGGAAAGCAGAACAAACCTCCAACATTCGAGAGTAAATGATAATCAGAAATTCATTTAACACATGCCACCTGGGCTCAAATGTAAATAGCAGTCCACATTGTTAAGCCTCTTTTTGTTCTGATTCCAAAAGGAAAGCTTATCTTACCTGGTAATGAACTCTTTGTGTAGTAGAAGTTACAGACTGTAGGTCCTAGCAGGAAAATGAAAGACACAGCAATGATATAAAAATTAAAGGAACAAGAGCTGGTTGCAGTTCTACTATCTGAAGTGGCTGGGCAAACACAAATAATTTTGCAACTATTTCTCACTGGTTTTAAGCAAATGAAACAAACACCACAGAACAGTCACGGAAAGCTCACCTAAAGTTTAAAATTGCATGTGTTTGATTAAAAAAAAATGGTTTAAAATATAGATATTGTGTTAATGGATCTTTAACACACCACAGACATATTTATTCAATGAAAACTATCTAAATTTAGAATATCAGCAACAAAATGAAAGAAAAGATGCTATTGCCCCCCCCTCCAGTATTTCTGAGTAGCGAATGCACTAAAGAAAATAACCAACAGTTCTCCCTGTTTTAAGACAGTCTCATGTCAGGTAGATCATATCAGAATGACCCTGGTATTTAGCAGGGTTCAGGAATTTAATTTACTTTAATACAGATTTTGTCAAATAGTTTTAGCTCATGACATAGCCTACCAAAAAGCCTACCCTACAGAGCACAGCTCGACAGTTGGCATGCAAGTTGGCAGAGTGCAAAACACCTTGGCAACTCCATTCCCAGCAAATGGCTCTGAGCCAAATCAAGAACACACACGCACAAAAAGTACAAACCCTGCAAAAGGATGGAGGAACACAGTTCCACAACCACTATGGGTAATTCAACCAGAACTAGATGTGCTTTCTCCAGGGCTGTGCAGCTACTCGCCACCCAATACTGGCAATTAAGTTACTTGAGCTCAGTATGAGATCACATTTGTAATCTGCTGAAAACACCTTCATAATTATTTCATTGTAATTTTCCATCACGAGATACTTCAAATATGCATCACCTTACAACATGGTTTTATGTCTGATAATAATAGCCACACCTCAGGTCTGAATGTTCAGAAATGCTTTTGATGAAGCTAATCCTGGCTGAAATGCAGAAAAGTGAAAGCCTGTAGTGGGATACTAAGGCCCATATTCAGGCTGCAAGTGCAGTTTCAAAACCACAGAGAAGTCAGTGGCTTCCGAAGTGTTCAATGGGAGAGATGAGGTTCATAGTTCCTATGTAAACTGGACCACCTCTTTAGAAACCTGCGTAATATCCTCACACTTGTAATGTTGTTGAAAGATATCAGTAGAAGATTAAAAACAGTCAGAGACAGTATATTAACGAAAATCCATTAGTTTTATCACTAAAGGCATACACAAAATTATTCAGGTAATAGGGCATTTGGAGTCTCCACTTCCCAGACTGTGTTGTAGAATGAACTCTCACAAGGCAGTGCGTTCAAGACATTAAAAGCAACTTTATTATTAGCTGCATCAGCATACATTTCTGTGTATTTGGAAATATCTAGCTGATATTTTCAGTGTTTATTGGTGTCTCAGATTACTCTGTGACAGTATGAGAGAAAGACATTTGCATAATTAGACCCACTCAAATACCATGATGTTTATCCTTACATAACACACTTTCTAATCAATAATTTATTTAATTTCAGCAAGGTATGTCCTGATATTCCATTCCAATTCAAGGAGAGGCAAGCACAACCATCCACATCAGTTTTGTTATAATTTTAAGAGTCGGTATGACTTTTCATTTTTGATTAGAAAATATTTTTCAGTGCTACTCCGATTTTATTATCATAACTAAAGTTTTGTTTTCAGTGGTAGGCAAATTGCAATACTCTTAATATATGGCTGTTGGAACGATTAGGCCTCTGCAGTCAGAAATGAAAGAAGCATAATATAGATTAAAAATTGATACCTGAATTCACGAAAACCTCACCTCCTGTAGACGGTCAATGTACATACGACAGGTCTCCAAGTCACAATCTCCTCGTACAACTATAATTCCTAGAGGAATGGCTGGAAAATCAAAACCAAAGAAAAACCTCTTTAATGGAATTGTCTTGAACTTGATTGCAATATGCTTTGGGTTTGGGGGTTCTTTTTTTTTTTTTTTAATATCCTCACAAAAGCTTTCTACTATCTGAATATTAAGTAATTTAAAAGCAGGAATATATTATTCATCATTAGCTTCAACCATTTATAATTATCAAAGATTTCAGTTTTCAACTGTCTTTCATATTGAAGAAGCTAAAACTGATCCAGTTAAACCATGTACTTTGTTGTACGATGTCATCAATAATTAACTACAAAGAAAGGAACACACTCCAGAACAAGAGTTGAGGGAAGTCCTCTTATACATTGAAATAAGAGAGTGATATTTCATTTTCAAAGCTTGTAAAAGTCCACAAAAAATATTTGAATTAGTGAATTTCAAAGAAAACTATCCAGTACCATGTTATTTTGATGTAAGTCTGCTTTCAAATCAAAACAGACGTTATTCTCTCTACACACAAAATTGACACATCTCCATATCCTTTCAGAGAAAAAAAAAAAAGAACTTGTAAAAATACAGAAAATAATTCCTCTCAGCTGAGGGCAGCATTTTTAATAACACAGGATTTATGTTTCCACAGACATTCTATTCTTGCAGCCCCAAAAAATCCAAAACAAACCCGAAAAAAGAATAAAAGACAAAAAACAAACATGTGAGTCCACAAGAAAGGTACCGAGAGAGCTACCTACTAAGATCTCATTAAATAAAAAGGAACAAGTGAAAACTCTTGAGTAGCTGATTTTCTAAAACTGAATCACTGAATGAAGTTCTTTTTTTCTCGCTGGAGGGTCTTTAATCAAACTATGGCCAAAAAAAAGTAGAGAAGCAGCAGGAAAAAGATTTAAATCCTCGTATGAAATATTCCAAAAGGAGAGCAGAATATCAACACGTAAACAATTTTGGTAACTGGATAACAAGAAGCAACATAAAGTCACTGACAGTTCTGAGATAAATAGAAAAAAACACTGTGCTGCAGCCCCTCCCACTATTCAAACTAAGTTGATTGAGAGAGAGAGGTATTTATCTAACGAGAAGCTCTTCATTCTGATAAGTGAACAAGACATTGCTAAAAGATAGCAGGGAACACAACTCATATTTTTGTGGCCCACCAAAGCAAGAAGTTCAGTGGTTTCAGAGAGGAGAGGAGAGGAAAGGAGCACCTCTGTCAGTCAAGGTCATTATGGGCCTCAGAGGCCATCACAGGCTCTGGGGACACATCAACAATGCTGCCAGCATTGTGTTTGGAAAGCAGTTTGAAAAGCAGAACAGCTACGAACCTGCGAAAACCAGAAGCAGGGAAAACAAGCTAGAGGGAGAAACAAGAACATAAAGAAGGGACGGGCAGAAAGACAGGGCAAGAAGGGAAGAGCTCGCACTTCTCCTGAAGTAACACTGACATCTGATAGCGATGCCAAGCCACCTGCACATTTTCAGGAGGGCCAGAAGGTAACAGTGCTCACTGCTACCTCCCGGATTTTTTAATTACAGAACAAAGACTGAGAGACAAGCAAGTGGAAGGAGGGTCAATTGCAAGGTTTGCTTTATGTGCTCTGATGCTCTAGGTTACAGACTGATTCTCTTTGCTTAGTGTTTATTGTTGCCTAACCTGCTCTGACAGGAGACCCTTAAGCTCTTCGTAGAGAGTACTTAATGGCTATCTAGTTTCAATTCAGCAGATCTCTTGGCAGCCCTTACCAAGAGAAGCATTTGTTAAACTCATTTATATCACTAAAAGTGAATTGCAGCAGACATGACTACACCTCCAATAGCTACAGAGCACCAGGGAGCTACACCACTGGCTCATGAACTGTCACCACAGATTTTGACTCTGTTGAATTACTTCCTCCATGGAGGAGTATATGCACTTAATGGGGACCAGAGTTTTGACCTGTCAAAACAATGCAGCTAATGCAGAACTGGAATCCTTAACTTAATCCTGACAGACCTAAGGAGGAGGACCTTACAAACATTTGGAATCTTAAAGAAATCCACCAAAATATCTGAAAACACTAATATTTAATAAATAGGTTAGCAGTGACGTTTATGGACGTCTTCTAACAAGTGAAGAAGTCATGATTCACAGACTAAACTAAATTATGTCCCATCTATTCTTGGTGGTCATAGAACAATTCTGGAATTCTGGTCTGGAGATCTTTGTCCTTAAAAAGAAATGTGTAGCTTTTGCTGCCTGGGCTTCCTGAGCTAGCACGACCTATGGCTTTTTGGGTCAATGGCTAGACAAGGGATAAGTGCATGGGGTGGGTCTCACATGGTTCCATTCCATATGGTTTATGCTCATTTGAAAAACCTTTTAAATCATTACTGGATAATACTATAGCACATACTAAAATGCTGCTTCTCAAAGGGGTTTTTTTTGCCTTGGATTTTTTGTGGAGGTTTTTTTGGTTTGTTTTTTTTTGCAAGACGCATTTGGCTTTCAGAAGGAAATCGTTCCCAGCCTTCATTTTTATCATAAACCACAGTAAGCATGTACAATGCACCATGCAGCCAACATTTTCAAAGCGCTTCACAATAGCTGCTGTTTGAAAACAAAAGCAAATCCTTAATGATTGATTGATAATGGGATCGTTGCTCATTCTAAATATGGGGCAATGCTGTGCAATAGAGGCAAAATGAGTTAAGTTATGGTAAATCAGTTAAAGGCATAAAGATAACATGCATGGCATTCAATGTCATTGTGGACGCTTTCACTCAGAAGAGTTTATACCTCTTCTGAACAGCCCTGTATGGATGAGGATGTGGACAGTACAGAACAGTGATTACTAGATATGCCAGGTGAGAGAGAGGAAAACAAAGTCTTGTATTAAGAGCACAGACACTGCAGAGCAACTTTCCCATACACCCACACACTGTCCACTCCTGTGAATATATGGTTATGTCCACACATGGGAATGTGCCAAAAACAAAGGATAGTCTCAGATCATGAGCCAAGATGCAGCATTTAAGTGCCAGACATTTTATTCTCAAGGCGCCTGCTCTTCTGGCCACTTGCATCTAGCTCCCAGTTTCTTTGTTCTCCCTGAATCATGAAAAGGACTTCATCCAGGGAGCTGTGGATACAGACTCCGATGCTGCAGTGATGAGCAGCAGTACAAGAACCCTGGGATATGAGACAGGGCAGACAGTTGCTTTGTATTCTGACCCAGTACTGCAGGAAACTTTTTTGTTCCTAGCAACACTAACCAAGTATCAGCAGAAGAAGGGTTGTGTAGATGCAGCAGTATGGCTACCATGATGCTCTAATTAACTGCAAGATTAGTAGTAATTTCCTAAGTCCTCATGAAATTAGCTGTGGAATTTATAAACAACGAATAAATCTTCCACCTATTAACTGCTCATAATGCTGAATATCTAAAGCTAGTGAACTCTTTAATAAATAGTATTGAGGACACAAATGGAAAAACCCTGAATATACCACATATGGCTTCATGAAAAAAAAATAAAAATCAATTAACTTCCCCATTTATTGTTATGGAAGGATTCAATTTGCGATCTAAACACCATGATTAACCCATGCAAATCACAAACAAAACAGCCTCAAGACAGATCATTAAGGTAGATGTGAATGCCAGGAAAACTCATTCTGAGTCTGACATACCTCAGGGGACTGGGGAGATTAGACATTGGGCTGTAAATGTTTAATGTAGCAAATAAAGGATCCTCACTGCTGAAGAAGTTCTAAGAATGTAATTTTCCTGAGGGGTTTCCACTAATACTAAAAACGTGAAGGACCAAGTCAATTCTTGGGAGAGAATTTTAAAATACTCAGACATTTATATTAAGAGGTTTGGCTGTCCCAGTATGGCTTTAATACAGCTGATTTTGTAAAAAAACGATTTCCTTGCCATGCAAATCTAAGCCATGTGTCTCTTCAGATATCTTTAGTTTATTATACTGACAAAACCTAAGCCTCCTTAAGTTCATTAGTTTCTAGTTTTCTTAGTGGTCCACTTTTAAAATCCTTACATGTCATGAGGTAAAACGCAGCAGAGGCTCTCAGTCTAAACCAGACCATGTTTGAGAAGATGGTCATCCCCTCCATCTCTCAGTGACCTCTCCTATACCCTACCACAAAAAGGAAGCTGTCCAACTCAAATGAAGAGAGAACTTGTCCCAAACACCACACAAAAGGGAACAGGTTATAGAAGTAAAACTATGAAGAGCTGGGAACTGAAACCAGCAGGGAATGAATATTGGGACTAATAGCCGAAAGAGGAGGTCTGGCTGAACAATGAATAAGGATTTAGGATTAAGAAAAAGAACAGGAATCTGAACTGCAAGATCTGTAGAAAAAGATTAAGACAGGCAGGAAGGATGTGTGTGGGATGAGATGGCCAAAGGGGACAACCAGGACTGAAAAGGTAAGAGGAAATCAAATCAGAAAAGCAGTAAGAAAAGAAAACAAGAGAAGTAGAATATGCACAGAAAAATCTCACAGAAAGTCTATACCAGAAAGGCAAACGATAGCATCATTTCCTAGAAAGTCTGAAATGGAACTTGGGATTCTTGTATCTCCTCACTCCTCTAGGGTAAATATATATTTATATCTATTTGGAACACTGTCCATCTCTTCTAGTTTAAGGGAGATGGAAAACTTACAGGTGACAGTTTTCCCACTAGCTGAAAAGGCAGAGTACTGTGTTGCATGTAGATACAACTTAATGTGGTGTCAAGAGAGGGTAGGTTTAGATTAGATCTAAGGAAGAAATTTATTATAGGGAAGGTGGTGAGATAGGGAACAGGTTGCCCAGGGAAGTTGCAGATGCCCCCTCTCTGGAAGTGTCCAAGGCCAGGTTGGACAGGACTTTGAGCAAAGAGTCCCTGCCCATGGCAGGGGAGTTGGAACTAAATGATCTTTAGAGGGTCCTTTCCCACCCAATCATTCTGTGATTCTATAACTCAATGATATGAGATTTTAATGGTTTGGATTTACTCCTTCCTC